GAGAGAGAGGCCTCTCAGTCTCTGCTGCCATGAGCCGCGCAGTCAGGAACGAAGCCGTACATTTTTATTTGACTTGAGCTCAGTCGGGGTTGAGCCACAATTACAGCCTGACGCTCCAGAAAAAGAAAAAGAAAGCAGAGGAACAACAGCGACTCTCCGGCCTCTCTCCGCTGACAGACTGTGCGCTGCAGAAATGTTTCCTCCACCACTAATTGATGCCTCTGAGCAGATTGTGTTGCATTTCATTTTGCCTCTGTGACCTCATCAGTAACTGAAGCTGTTGGAGGACGGGGAGTTTCTGAGCGACCTCCGGGAGGCGGCCGGTCGTTTGTCCATCGAACAGCAAAGACTCAGCAGCGCCTCTTTGAACACTGACACCTCTGCAGAGCTCTCATCTCGTCTGAGTGCCCTTGAGCAAGACGTTCACCCCCGACCTGCAGCAGCTGATGCCTGAAATGTAGTTTTCTATTGTTTCTCTACAATCAGACGTAAAGACGTTCCAGAATCTTCAGCGTCGGCGTCTGATGAACTCGTTGAGGTTTTACCACAGGTTTGGTGTCGGTGCTCATGACCCCCCCTACTACCCCCCCTCCTCCTCTGGACTCACTTCAAAGTGGGTTAATTGAAGCAGATTTCATGGTCTGGACTGGAATTAGTGAGGAAGAGTCTTTGTCCTCCGCCTGTTAATGAGGAGGAGCAGGGCGGAGCTCTTTGTGCTGCAGTGATTTCACTGTTGATTCTTATTATTATTTCATATTGATTTCAGTTTTCTACCTTCAGGACATTTGAAGTTGAGAAAATTGACTTGCACAGCTTGATATCAATGATCCATGTCAGTCAGCAGCCAGTCAGGTGACTGATGGAGTGATGATGCGTTCATGAGCAGCGGCTGCTCAAAATCCTGATCAAGACCCAAGAAGAAATTCATATTTTAGATGTGATTTCTGACAGAAAGCTGCTGATTCGTCCATCAGCTGTTTCTGTTGTGATTTAAATCATAATTCATCATTTTCTACAGTTGCTGCTCTGCAGGTCTGTAACTGATGGAGTTTAACAACAGACTGATTCCTAAACGAAACCTGTTGGTGCAGCAGCTCAATGTTTGTAATAATCAGTTTTAATGAGTTATAATTAAAAAAAAAAACCTTCGCACTTTTTACTCTTTTCAAGAACAATAATGATTCTTCATCGTGACTTTGGCACCTGTGGGATTGTGGGTAAGTCTCTCACATCAGAGACTTGACATGAGAGTTGTGCGTTGGCGTCTCATTTACCATCTCATACTCATACCTGAACACACACTCACACCGCTCCGCTTCTCTGTCCAGCTGCGTGTTTACAATGTGGCAGCATCACACACACACACACACACACACACACACACACACACACACTTCATCTGCTTTCATGTGCCGCTGATGCAGCCGTCAGGTGGGGGTCTTTTGAAGGTGCGTTTGATGTTCGGTGTCGCACATCCAGAAACGACACAGAGGCAGAAAGATGAGGGAGAGAAGACAGGGAGTAAATTAGAGGAGTGTGTCAGTGCTTCACTCTGTACATGTGCAAACATATCCTGTGTGTGTGTGTGTGTGTGTGTGTGTGTGTGTGTGTGTGTGTGTGTGTGTGTGTTACACCCAAAAAGTGTGGAGGTGAAAGGAGAAAGTTGCCGCCGGCTGCTTTTTCTCTAATCTTGATTAATCCCAGTAATAATCCACAAGGCGTAGGAGGCCGAGTTTTGGTGAAGTGGAGGTGGAGGGGGGGAGGTTTAATCCCCCCCTCCCTCTGCAGCCTCCTCCTCCTCCTCCTCCTCTGAGATGAAGGGAGGCACTTGAGAGATGGAAGGAGAGGATGAAAGGAAGTGCTGAGAAAATGAGTCTCCGCTCAGGATTTCACTTGGAAGATAGATTTTAATGTCGGAGCTGATCAAAGAGACGGAGCCTCGTCACAACAGCAGAGTCGTCACTTTCCAAGTCCACCTTAAATATTTTAAAGAAGCACCTGCGGACGCAAAACATGTCGACTGATTGATTGGTTGATTAATTATCGGTAAAAGTCTAAAGCAGAAGATTTCCATGATGGGTGTGAGATTGAAATCAGATGAGTGTGTGTGTGACGTGGACTCGCTCAGGAAGAAAGCACATGAAGTTCATGTTCATGTTGTTTGTTACCGTCTTCCAGGACCACCCACCCACGTGACTGTTTCCTGACCTGACGGCCTCAGGGTGCAGGTCAGAGTCCCTGTGACCGGAGGTGAGGTGTCGCTGTCAGGCAGGTGGTGTCTCAGGTGTCTGAGTCGCACAGTTATATTAAATATGAAATGAGCAGCCAGTAAAAACAAGCACTGGAGATATTCCTCTGATTTAATCTGAAAAGAAAAGCAGCTGGTCTTGGACTGGAGCCACAGCTGCAGTGTCCTCAGACCTTTGGTTCGATCGCAGGGTTAGTGGATCGACCCTGGTGCCAGAGTGTCCACGAGGAAAGGAAACCTGTTTTTAAAGTAGATCAGAGGCACGTTTGTGCAGAAGAAGCTGAGCATGAACATGTGGGGATGTTTCCTGAGGAGGAAACTTGAGTATTGTTCAGTAAAGTCGTGAACATGTGTTCCTGCAGCTTCAGTCCACACAGGTAAATAACTCTGTCAGGTGTGTGTCCAGCTCTGAGCTGCTGCACATCTGATATCAGTGTGTGTCTGAGCCTCCATTGCTGCCCGGGAGGCTTTAAAGAGCTTGACTGACAGAGAGGAGGAGGAGGAGGCTCCACCTCCTCCACAGACGCCACTGCAGACTGTAAAACACGAGCTGGAGCCTCTGTGAACCTGGAGGTGTCCTGCTGACCTAAATACAAGGACGCTGAGTGTGGAGCTGATTAATGCTGAGATAATTAATCAGCAACTCTTCCAATAATCAATTGAGTCATTTTTTAAAGGAGGAACTCTGATTCCAGCTTCTTATATTGAGTATTTCCTGTTTTCTGTGACAGTGACGTGAATCTCTCTGTTCATTGGATGAAAAAAGGCATTTGAACGTGTCACATTTGGCTCTGGGATCATGTGACCGACGTGTTTCACTCTTTTAAGCTCGTGGCTGTGAAATGTATTTGCACAGTGGCTGTAAAGTTGTTGTACAACCAAGGCTTCGTTCACACGACTAACACACCTGAAAACACACATACCTGAGCAATCACCTACACTGAGCGTGTGCGAGCCGGTGTAAACAGGAAGTAGATTGTCTCCTCTGCAGTTGTAGCATTAAAACAGAGAATGCAAGTGAACAACAGCTGCAAAGACAACAAGGTCAGTAACTCTGTCATTCATCATCATGGTGTATTCACCACAGGTAGTCCAGGCTGATGACAGCCAATCAGGAGAGACCGTGGCTGTGACCTCATCGATTACAAAGGTCTCACTTTCTGTCCAGATGACAACACAACCCCAGAGTTTTCAGAATAAAACACAACCCCAGAGTTTCCAAAATAAAACACAACCCCAGAGTTTTCAGAATAAAACACAACCCCAGAGTTTCCAAAATAAAACACAACCCCAGAGTTTCCAAAATAAAACGGGGTGAGCAGCGTTTCTTAAAGTCTCTGTTTTCGGGGCTTGGAAGCTCCGGGGTCGTGTGGACGGAGGAGGAGACGTAGGAAAAGAGATGAGTTTTGAAAGGAAGACGTAGCGGTGTGGACGCCGCCTGAATCAGTGTTTGTGCAGATACAGTTTGTTCTTCACTATTTGCATTGTGAGGTACAGACGTTCATATTTCTCCTGACTGGACCCTTTTTCCTCCGAGTGGATCTGACTGAGATGTTGTGACGTACTGGGGTATCTACCTGTATCTACCTGTATCTACCTGTATCTACCTGTATCTACCTGTATCTACCTGCAACAGTATGAGGTGATTGTAATTAGAGCTGGGGATCAAACCTGTGTACTTTGTGTGTGTGTCATCAAGCACTGAGAGCTGAGACTGAACATCTCTCCTCTTACTCTTTGATCGGTTAATTACATGTGTTATTACTCCTCACTGTGAGTGTAATAACAGCCTGTGAGTGTGTATTTGAATATGAGAAACTGTGTGTAAGATTGAGTTAAAGAAAGAAGAATGCTTATGAATGAGTTAGGATCACGTTGTCAGCTCCAGATCCCGATCCAGTCTTTGCACGGACCCCGCTCCGTGTTTTCCCGCCCTCCCCCCCGCCGTGCTGCTGTGGTCGGTCCGTGTCGGTGTGTGGAGCGGAGTGCAGGCGGAGCGGAGAGCACCGGAGGAGGGAATGGGACCGCGGCTGCCGAGCCTTGTGTCGCTGTCAGGGGGGTTGAAGCCGGAGTGATCGCAGCAGAGGAGGAGAGGGAGGCCCGGGTCCTCCGCTCTCAACACAGCGACATTTAAATCACAATTGAAGCCGGTTTGAGGGGGAAGAGGCTCGGCTGTCTGCGCTGCGCTGCGGGGGATGTGCGCACACAATGGGAGACGACGCACTGGCACCGTCCGGGACGCGGCTCTAGAATAATATTTACCCCTCCGTTTTGTTTGTAATGGAGACGCGGATCCCGGAGCAGGATCCAGAGCTGTCTGCGGGACTCACGGTGGAGGTCTCCCGGTGCTAAAGACTTCGTCAGTCCGGGCAGGAAAAGTGCTTTTTGAGGCCGGGGGTCGCATCAGTGTTCCGGACAGAGCGCTGCAGAGAGCCCGAGGAGAGCGGCGGAGGACGCGCTGCTCTGCCTGTTTGTTGCATTTGTTGCCAGTTTAAATTCCGCTGGGATGAAACCGGAATGTGTTTCCTGCGTCAAAGTCCGCGCTGTTTGCACATCTGGATCTTTTCTCTGCTGCTGCTGAACCAGTTTAACGTTGATGTTGGAGTTTAATCCAGAGGTTAGTTCGCAGAGAACACCAGCAGCAATCTGAATCTGCATTTACAGTATATGATACAGATGTTCTAGAGAAGTCGAGGGTCTGTGATTATTTAGTAAAGTTCATCAGTCCAGGTTGAGGTTTCTGCAGACACAGATGTACCTTCTGGACAGTCACTGCTCTGAAAGGATGGAGAGGGGCACGCCTCAGAGGAAGACCGTGTACCGCATCTCCCTCACCTTGGTGAAGAGGGAGAGTTTGGATGATGGGGGAGGAGGGTCGGGCCCCCGCCGAGCGGAGAACCCCAAGGTGGGCTCCTTCAGGCGGGAGGGCTCGGTGGAGCTCCAGCGTGGCGGCCTGCTGGAGCAGCTGAAGGAGGTGGAGGACGAGTCGGACGAGTTCTCATCGTCACACGGCTACATGAGGAACTTCAGGACGTTCAGCACGGGGCAGCTGGAGCTGGGGAGGCTGAAGATATCCAGGAAACATCAGCTACAGAAGGAGCTGAAGGAGCAGGCCACCAGCCCCGTGGCAGAGCATGGCAAAGAGGCGCCCGAGAGCGTTTCCCCTCAGAGTCAGGACGACTGTCAGAGGGAGAGCGGGCAGCAGGGAGCAGAGGATTCACTCAGACCTCAGGAGGAGATTTGCTCTGAAGCTCCACAAACAGACGCTGCGGTGGAGAACGGCAGCGTCACCAAGAGGAAGAGACTCCTGAAAGCCAAGAGCATGGAGGAGAGGAGCTCTGATCCTCCTCTGAACGCTGAGGGGAAGATGTCCCACTCCAAAAGTAACGGCAAAGCAGCCAAAGTTTCCTCTCCTGACACCCCTCCCCTGAAGCGGCCGCCCGGCCTGCTGCGCCGCAGCTTCAGCTTCAGGCACTGGACGGGCGGCGAGCTGCTGCGACTGCGGGCGCTCTCCAAAGACAAACACCACAGCAGCTCCGGCTGCATCAGCCGAGACGCCGGGCCGGACGAAGGCGAGAAGGACCCGGAGCCGGCTGTTGTGCTCCCAGCTTCCCGCCACAGCGACCTGACCAGGGAGAAGAGCAGGACTCTGGAGGTCGGGGCCGTCCTCAACAAGACGGACTCCATGTCTGAGCTGAGCCGCTGGGAGAGAGCGCGAGGCAACAAGAACCGGACGCTGGACAACAGCGACCTGCTGCGGCTGTCGGCCGAGAAGGACGGATCGGGAGGGGGGTTCCTGCTGCGGGGAGGGGGAGGTCGCTCCAGCGAGAGGCGTCTGGTTCGCTTCTTCAGCGGGATCTTCTCCAGAAGGGACGGGGCGTCCACCTCCACACCGGTGGGAAGCCCCAGCACCAACCGATCCCTCCGGCGGAGCAGGAGGACGGCGCTGTCACAGTCCAGCACGGAGAGCATGAACGGAGGAAGCACTGACGGTAAACATGTCTGATCACTAATTATTTAATCATCCTGCGACCTCATTACATGTAACTTTGGGCCCTTTCTGAGCCCCTGAGCCTCAGGTTGGGGCCCTCTGACCTTATCGTGTGTCTTTTATTCTTTAAACATTGATTTTAAAGTGGATGGATCCACAAAGACTGTGTGTGTGTGTGTGTGTGTGTGTGGGCTGCAGCAGTCAGGGAGGAAGGATCATGATGTGTGTGTGTTGTTTGTTTTGGACAGCAGGGTGATGTTTGGTTGTGTCAGTGACGACCAGCCGCTGCTGTTTGTCTTTCATTACTCTGAGCTTTAGTTTCCAGTTTTTTTCTCCTTCAGTGACAAAAACCTGTAACTGATTTTAAAGAACCGAAACAACGAGACAGAAACGACTCATTTGTGCAGGCGAGATGGAAACATCGTCCCTCAGCAGGAATAAAACCATCTCACCTTGAAACAAAAGAGGCGAGAATCAAAGACAAACAAGAGAGAAATGATTTTTTCCAGTGGAAACAAGAAGAAAAACGTCCAGAAAAAGAGAAGTGAGCAGGAAAAAGGGGTTTAAAATAGCAGCTGGGGGGAAAATGTAGTCAGACAGGAAGTAGGAGCCTGGACACAACGTGTTTTCATCCTAAAGAGAAGGTGCCAAACGTCTGGTCACATGACTGCAGCTTCACTCAGGTTTTGACAGCTTGACGATACCAGTGTGTGCTTTTTATCTGCACACACACACACACACACACACACACACTTACACCAATGCAAACAACACACCCCGTCAGCATCCTCTTTCCATCGCGATGGGGCCGATGGAAAACATGACGAGAGAGGAAGTGGGTCTGTTCTGTTCAGACAGACAGACAGACAGACAGATGTATGTCTTCCTGTCGAGTCCTTCACTGTTTCTCTGCCAGCCTCCCTCCAGATGTTGGAGCTTCCAGCTGCAGCAGCAGGAGTTTCACATGTTGACACCTCTGCAGCTCAGTGTGCCTGTGGCTCCGTCCACACTGTGATGTCTTCGTTTTAAAACTCATCTCTTTTCCTACGTTTCCTCCTCCCGTCCACACCGCCCCCCCAAAACGGAGAGTTTTGGAAACGCTGCTGGTCCCGTTTTATTCTGAAAACTCTGGGGTTGTGTTTTATTCTGAAAAATCTGGGGTTGTGTTTTATTTTGAAAACTCTGGGGTTGTGTTGTAGTGTGTACGGACTGAGACCTCAGCTTCCATCACCACTGGTGAAAGAAAATTTAAACACTATACCTTTGTCTTTGCTGTTCCTCCTTCTTACTGTTTCGTGTGACTAACCAACTGCAGAGGATCTACTTCCTGTTTACACCTGTTACAACCTGAGCAGACGTTCCTGCTCTGAGTGACATGTTTTAGCCAGTACCAGTTAAATACACACGTTCGATACCCGGCCTTGAGGTTTCAGGTGTTTCCAGCCTCTCACAGTGAGTGTCGTTGTCTTGATAACTGAGTTATAGTCTTGCCAAACTGACTAGTTCATTGTGATGTAGATGTTACATCATCGTGTTGTAGCCTCAGTTACTCACCTGAGCTTTGGGAGTGTGTTCTCACCTGTAGGAGCCGAGTCAGCGACGCCTGCACCTCTGCTTTGAGGTGTTTTAAATAAAGACACAGTGAGAGAGAAGCTTCAGTCTTTGTCCTGGTTTCAGGGTTTTCACGACCTTTCCTCAGGCGCTGGGGGGGGGGGGCTCTCCAGGTTCCTGATTCGCGGCCTTGGAGGTCGACTTACAGGTTTAGCAGTTGGGGGTGGGGGTGGGGGGTGGGGGTGAAGCTTGCACATTTTTAGGATTCCTGCGTGGAGCTGGAAGAGGCTGCAGGTCATCAGCAGTAACCTTCACTGAGCTGCAGGATAATGGCCTGCGGCAGGTAACGTGTTGTTTCTGGAGATAACCCGTGTTTGTCCTGGTGGGGGTCTGAGGCGGGAAAACAGAGCTGAGAGTCCATATGATAATAACTCAGGTCGTTTGTATGTTTCCTCACTGCTGAGGCAAAATATGTGATATTAAAGAAAAAACCTTCAGTTGGACAACATGGATCACATGATCAGCTGCTGCCTCACACACACAAGGCAGCTCAAACATTTCACATGTGTATTATATATATATTTCACATGTACATTAAAATTCACATGTGGTGTTGTGATTCCATGTGTAAACCTAAATTTCACATTTAACACGTGAAATGTTTCCACACACACGTTATGTTGTGATTTCATGTGTTAATAAATATATATATATATATATAATATATATATATATATATATTATATATATATATATATATACAGTAAACACTGTATATTTCACATTTGTTTATCTTTGTATGAGATTTAAAAATCAACAAATTAATCAAGAACATAAATGGCCGATTAATCGAGAGAGCCTTAATGTAGTCGCCCCCCCCCGGCTCTGCAGACGAGGGGCTATTGTTAGAGAAGACACTCAGGACCCCTCCCACCCTGACCTCACTGTGTCTTAATGGAGTCCACTGGTGTGTCTATGGGGAGGAGATGTAGGGGAATGTGTGTGTGTGAGTGACCTATATCCACAGCCATGCAGAAGTAATGTGAACTACATGTGTGTCAAAAGGCACACACACACACACACACACACACACACACGCCAATTACTGAGTCTACGTTTGCATCAATTTATTCCCTCTCTCCCTCTCTCTCTCTCTCTCTCTCTCTCTCTCTGAGAAAAAAGACTCTCTCTCTTTCTCGATCTCCCCGACTCTTACTTACACACACACACACACACACACACTCATCAAATGGTTCGACTTGCAGCTTTGTGGCTCCTCCAGATGAAGCGTTAGTTAAAGCTTTGTTCCTCCTCTCTGCTTTCCCTTTATACATAAACACACAAACACACACACACTCACACACACACACACACACACACACACACACACACACACACACACACACACACACAGATACTTAAGAGTCTCTACTACAATAGGTATAATAGGGAGAAAATCCTATTAGGAGAAATGCTGCAGGGAGCACAGAGATGGAGGGATGATGGAGAGCTGACCCTCCTCCTCCCTCCTCCTTCTTTCCTTCCTTTCTTTCCTCCCCTCTTCCTCATCTCCTCCTTCCTTCACTTATTATTTATCTCCTCACTCTTCTTTTGTTGCTTTCTTCCTCTCTTGATTCCTTTCCTCCTTTCCTCCTCCCTTCACTCGGATTGTTTTTGTATCTGTTGCATCCTTCTTTTCCTCCTCCTTCCTTTTCTTCCATCCATCCTGTCTTCACTCTTATCCCTTCTTGTCCTCCTTACTTTCCTTGCTTTCATCTCCTCCTCCCCCATTCTTCCCTCTGTAATCCCTCTTCTTTCTGTCATTTATTTCCTTCATTCCTTCCCCCCTTTTTCTCTTCTTTCCCTCTGTGGTGGGTCCTTCCTTCCTTCCTTCCTTCCTTCCTTCCTTCCTTCCTTTTTTCTCCTCTCCTTCCTTTGGTCATACCATTGCTGTCTCCCTCTTTCTTCCTCTCTTCCACTCTTCTCTCCATATTTAGTGGGATGTAGTGCACGCTGAAGTGATGCTGAGAGGTCGTGGAGGTGAGGAGCCGAGGATTGTGGGATATCAAACTGGGCCAAGGACTCTGTCCTGGTTCTCTGAGTCTCCGGCTGGGACTCTGTCTTTATTTTGGTCTGTCCACCTTAACTGCTCCAATCAGACTGGGCCATTACTGCAGGGAGTTTCAGTGTGTGTGTGTGTGTGTGCGTGTGTGTGTGTGTGTGTGTGTGTGAACCAGCTGACTGGGTTCAGGTGAAGCTGATTTCACTGACTCCATTATTCAGTGAGTCAGTGACAGTGGTTGTTGCTGCTCTGGGTGTCGGAGCTTATAGAAGTCGGCCTGTGTGTCATGTGACTCTGTGGTTGTGTTGTGAGTGAAGCGTGTTGATGCTGAACATTATTCAGACTGTGAATCTGAATCAGGCTGCTGAGCTCTGCTGCCTCCACGTTCCTCTCATTTCTGACTCTACCTCGTTCACCCGCTCTCTCTCTCTGGCTCTCTCTCTGGCTCTGTCTCTCTGTCTCTCTCTCTGTCTCTCTCTGTCTCTCTCTCTCTCTCTCTCTCTCTCTCTGTCTCTCTCTGTCTCTCTCTCTCTCTGTCTCTCTCTCTCTGTCTCTCTCTCTCTCTCTGTGTGTCTCTCCCTCTCTCTGTCTCTCTCTCTCTGTCTCTCTCTCTCTCTCTCTGTCTCTCTCTCTGTCTCTCTGTCTCTCTCTCTCTCTCTCTCTCTCTCTCTCTCTGTCTCTCTCTCTGTCTCTCTCTCTCTCTCCTCTCTTTGACACTGACACAGTTTTGCTGCTGCTCTCGGAGCTTATTAGCCGGCTGCTGTGTCGCTGCAGCACCAGAGGTTGTTCTGGGGTCAAAGAGCATGTGTGGGAGGTCTCCATCTTCACCCTCCTCCTCCCCCGTCCTCTGCTCCTTCCCTCCATCCTCCTCCTCCCCACTTCCTCTCCAGACCCAAATTGGTCTGTGAGTGTGTGTGTGTGTGTGTGTGTGTGTGTGTGGGGTTTAGAGGGCTGTACTCCCTTATTTGAACAAGCCGTTGGAGGCAGTGAAGTAGCACCACACACACCCTTAAACTGCAGCAGCGTGTGTGTGTTTAAGTCTTGTTCTTTCTGCTTCATGGCCACTGGCCTTGTAACCTGACAGCAGCTGTGTGTGTGTGTGTGTGTGTGTGTATGTGTGTTTAAACAGTCACACTGAGGATTCACACAGAAACCCTCTAAAATAAACCATTAGATTTGATGTTAGAGACGTGGTTTGATGTTGAGGGTGAGACACTGTCCCTCTCTGTCCTCTGATTGTCTTATGGATCTCTAGCTGTGTTTTTGTGTCCTCAGAGTGATTATTGATACAGTGATCAGTCAATCTGTCAATACAGGGAAAATGAAGTCCGTCCACACACTCGGTGACAAACCTGATTATTGATTCATCATTTAAACGCACGTCAGTG